TTTTAACATTAACGTTTTTCCTTTCGCCATTCTGCAACTTGAGAAACTTTCACGATACAATTACTATCCTTTCGTTTTAAGCTAGCGCCGCGAAGAACTAGCTGCTACTTCCTGCGGCACCTTAATTACTCGCAGCATAGCCAACTTTGTTGGCGTGTTTTTGTTGTTGTTCACATTGCGCGCGCAACTTACGCCTGCATTAATCTTATTAAGTTAATTAGCTGTATTCTCTATCTCACACATGTTTACTTGTATGTATGTGCATAGCAGGTATATATGTATATATGTTGGTCGTAGACAAAAATCGAACATGCAACTGGACATCATTCAATTGAAAGTGATTCACAAAAAGAGACATTAAATTAATTTGGCAGCAGCTGCCGCCAAAGGAAATCGTAAAAATTTGAAAAAACTCAATAAAGAAAGTATAGAAGAACTACGCCAGCGCGCCGTATTACCTACCTTTCCATACACATTTAAAATTCTTTCCGATTCTAATTTATATTCTCTTTTTCTCACGAAACTTTTTTGTCCGTTGTCTACTTTTAGGTGCCGGAACGTGTACGCGCCATGAATGCCAGCATAAAACTTTTGCTCATTGTACGTGAACCGGTGACGAGGGCCATTTCTGATTATACACAATTACGAAGTCACGCGGCAACGGCCATGCTGCCGCTAGCAGATGGTCCTCCGCCACCTTCGCCCGCGCCCGCTAAGCGTATCGCCAGCACTTATCAACAACGGCGACAAGGGCGGTCTATTGAAACAGCCGGCTCTGGCTATGGACCTGGGTCGAGCTATGCGGCGGCAGCAACGAATCAGCATCTCAGAGCGACACAGCATGTGGCGCTTTATGGTAAATCTAGCAATTCCTATGTTCCAGCGCAAGTGTATGATAATGCAATCGGCGGAGGTGGAGGCGGAGGTGGGGGCGGAGGAAGTGGAAGTGATTCTTATACAACAGCGCCATCGCCCGGTTCGGCGGCCGCGGCAGCTCAAATTGCAAGCAAGTAAGTGGTCATACATAGGTTATTGTGTGCTTATACATGAAAGTATATGTACGTGTGTGTGTGTGTTTTTTTGCTGCCATGGCGCCCGTGTATATGCAATGAAAGCAGTAATAAAACGCTGTACAGGAAGGAAGTAGGTATGCTCATACAGACTATTTTGCATACAAATGAAATGTAAAATAGGAGAAAATTTTTTTCAAATTTTATCAGCGCAAACTTGGCAAACGTTGGTAGAGTGAGAGTTTGCGCGGCCAGTTTACCTTCAATGGAGATTGGGTAGACGACGCGACATTCATTTCAATTTGTTAATTCAATAAAATAAACGCGTGTTGTCGTTCAATTTAAATTGAGCGAAAATAAAAAATCCAATGGCAATGGAATATAGAATTGGTATGTACGCGAGCTGAAGTGGCTCTTTGGTTAAAGCGTCGTTATGGCGTATACGTAACCAAATGCACCATGTAGTAGTTATAGTATGTACCTAGCACATGGGTCAATTCTCGCCAACTGCTCCAAGCGCGCTGAGCGGTGCAAAACAAGCTTCTGTCGACTAGTTGGGAAACGGACAGAAAATAGTGAAAAAAAAAACGAAAACTATGATTACTATAGATTTTTGTACGGGCTATTCGATGGTGCTATGCGTTTTCTAAAATTTTGCTATGTTCATGGTGAAATTCGGAAACAAAAATTTATTTAAAATTTTTCTCAATTATGGTCTTTAGTTATCTCAATCGAAAGATGAGGTATTTTTACATAGACGTCAATAATAAAAATAAGACTTCGTTATATTTTTCCGAGTTATAAAGCACCTTAGAGCGCGCTAAACCGTTTACCATGCGCGTCACTTTTATAATGTTGTAATGCTGGAGCTAATTGATGTTTGAATCTGAAATTTTCACAAAAACTTCCTTAGATATTCATCTGCAATACTGTGTTTAAAAAAAATAAATAAAAAATAAAAAATAAACTTTATAATACAATTTTTGCACTAAAAAAAAAATAAACTTTATAACCCAGAACAGAGGGCCCCTATTAATTAATGATTTCTATGTAAAAATATCTGATTTCGATTCAGATGACTAAAAACAAACTTAAAAATTACCATAATTGAGAAAAATTACAAATAAATTTTCGTTTCAAAAACGCGCAGCACCATCACATCACCTGTACAAAAGTCTATAGAAATTATAGTTTTCGATTTTTTCCAACATATTCTGTACGCTGTACATATTTCAACATACAGTTGCTCATTTTGCATGGGATTTTTTACGCTATTCAAAATGCTTTTGATTGATAACTTTTGTCTTCAATTTTGTATAAAAATATATCGCTAGCTATTGGTGAAAAGTTGCTAAGTCCACTTTTTATGAAAACTCATATTTTGATACAGACAGCTAGAGAAATTGTAAATGCATTGCTTCGAAAAGCACAAAGGTACTTGTTCCATTTATTCTCGTTTATATGCAATGAAAGGAAAATTAGCACCGAAAATCCGATAAGGCCAAAAGAGTACCTACTTAATCTGGTAATAAAGATCGAATCCCTCTAATTCCTATGGAGTTTTGCTTTACTGTAAACCGGCAAAATATTGTATTCAAAGTGTTGCCAAATACTTGAAGAAAATGTTTATAAGACATATTTTTCTCTCCTGTAAAACTGTTAAAATTGGACTTTGCAACTTTTCACTCTAAGCGAGCGATATGTAGCTCGTTCTTCAACGAAATCCATGTAAGTAAAAATTTTACAGTTTGGAAAATATTAAGATAACACTTGTGTTTAATTGAATAATTTTTTAAATAATTGCATACATTTGCAATTAATTTCAAGTATTTTCCAAAAAAGTGGAAGCATTCAAACGTAAATTTTTTTTCTTTAATTTTTGAACATAAATAAATAAAAAACCAGCGCTTTTTTAAAAAATTACCACGGATAGATCGACGCAAAATTTAATTATCTTTTTTTTAAAAAAAGGAACTTGAAATCGGTTCATATTCGGGCTATCAAAATTTATTTGTCCACAGCAACCTTTTTTGCCCCACTGTGCGAGGTTTTGTAGTCCATTAAGTTCAAGTATAATAAAATGCAGGTTTAAAGTTACTGAAAATTCGTGTTGAATTTTTGGAAATTTTTTGCCGACCGTGATCATATAGTTTTTCCATACAAAATATGCTCGACAATTTTTTTTTTGTATGAAAGATACTATCAGTGAAAACCAATTGCCAAAACTTAACGCAATTTTTTAAACAAAACTACAAAGCTGCGTACACCATTTGTTTTTTATAAAATCGGATAAGAGAGTTTCAAATCTGTATGCAAATTTATAGAATTTTCCTGAGGTTTACACAAAGTTTACAAATAAAGGACAGATGTTTATTTGTTATTCCCTTTAGATCAGATATAGATTAAAAATATTTTTGTCCGCCTAAGTCGCCTAATTCTACCTGTGTACGGTGTTGAGCACTTTCTTCAATATAACGACTTTTTTTTTGTTTGGAAGACCGGCACTAAAAAACTATCAAAAGCCCGCGAAATTTATGAGCAACTTGGAATTTCAGCTTTAACAACGAAATCGAATGCGCTATAAAACTGCAAACTCGAACTTGTTGTAAAGTATTTTACCAAATAAATTTAAATTTTTATCGAAATTCGTTGAATCATTTCGTCATTTGCATAGTTTTTGCTGTATAATAAGCTATATTTTTATAAAAAAAAATAAAAATACCGAAAAAAATTACTATGATGAACATTTTGAATATCGTAAAAAATAATGCAAAAGACTTGTGTGCGTCACTGTACGTACATACATAATACTTAGGGATGTAAATTTTTCAGCTTTTTCCGATCCCGGGATTTCCGGGATGTCGTTATCACAATCCCAGAATCCCGGTGTTAGTCCCGGGATTTAGATATTCATTACTTTTCAACAACAAATCTTCTACCATAAAATAAATAATAAATAAATTGGTTTGAAACCTACTTTTTTATTAAAAGTGGCATTTTTATTTTTTCTCTCTGACGTCAGGATATATTCTAAAGGACTTCCTAATTTCAAAGATGTGATTAATTCCAAAAATTATTTAAAATAATTCAATGCAAAGTAAAATAAAAATATGGGTACGAAATGCAAGAGAAAATTTCTTTAGAATTAAAAAAAAATACAATTTTTTTGGATTCACAAATAGGCAATTTTTTAAGCTGATAAAGTTAGAAGGACGAAATTCGAGGTTCTTATCGAGTTTATATAAGTCCTTAACATATAATTTTTTCAAAAGTAAATATTGCGAAATTTCAAGGATAACATTTTAAAAGGACATTTTCTGTACTTACCAGTACTTCTGCACCAAAAACTTGAATCTGCTTAAATTCTACAGGATTTCCTCTTTATGTTGATACCCACACTTCTTCTCTAAGCACATTTCACTGAATTTTTTAAATCATTTTTGAATTACTGTCGTCAGAGTGAAAAACTAAAAACGCAATTTTAGTATATTTGGCCCATGGTTTCCCGAATATATTAATATTTGTGTGTAAAATTTACTAACGCGCGGTGTTGTGTGTATAATGAGCTAGACTTTTATAAAAAAAAAAATAATTATTATTAAATAAAAAAAAAGAAAAATAACCAATACTGGTCGAGAAAGGGAATTTCTATTCTATTCTTGCCATCAGCGCAAATTACAAATCCCGAAAATCCCTGTACTATTTGCCAATAGTCCCGGGATTTTCGAGATCTAAAAAAGGCCGGTGTTCCCGGGATTAACATTGCTAACCTACATACTAGAGCTCGGGCAATTCGGTTAATCGATTAACCGAATTATTCGAATCTGACTGAAGTGGACTATTGTTAATCGGTTAGCAATATTCGAGTAGTCGAAAGCTGTCG